GTACCAGGGGACAGGGGGGTACCTGGTGAGGGGAAAGCATGGGGGTTGCCCTGGTGGAAGTGGCTGGAGAAATGCCGCAGGATTCGCTCCCGCTCCTGTGTCTCGCCTGTCAGCACAAAGGTGCTGAGGAATGTCCTGTGGGGTTAGACATAGGATGACCTCCAGACCCCCTCATCCCTCTGCCCCACCACTCGGGGATCCCAGGCAGCTTCCCTTGCCCCCACCGCCTAGCCCTGCCCCCCTGGCTGTGAGGGGGGATGAGCTGGTGCCTACCTGAGCGCCTGGTCCAGGCTCTGCCCTGAGAAATGGAAGAAGGCCACGTACTCCTCGGCCACGGCCTGGCTGAACGCGGTGCTGTGGCAAACAGCAGAGGGTACCGTGGGGCTAGGGGCAGCTCCTGGCTCCCCGGGGCACAGTTCTCGGTTGTGGGGGACAATTCTGAGTTGCCCAGGGGAGCAGTTATGGCTGGGGGGGAAGTTCCCAGCTTGGGGGGGCGGTTCCCAGCCCTCCAGGAGGATGATTCCTGGCTGGTAGGGGGCAGCTCCCAGCCCCCAGGGGGGCAGTCACAACTGAAGGGGCAGTTTCGTGGGGGGGAGAGTCCTTACTTCTTCCGCAGGTATGAGGCCACCTGGGACCTCTTGAAGCCGTCCAGGTGATAGAGCCGAGCTGCTAGGCTCCTTGCTGCCGCCCGCGCCTCTGTCATTCCCAGTGCCTCCCCGTTGGCCACTGTGGCATCCCTAGAGGGCAACAGTCCTGCTACTACTACTATTGGGGGGCACAGGGGGGCCCTTTCCAATCCCTTAGATCCAGGGGGCTGCAGTTCAGGAGTGAGGGGCATTGGTGGGGTTGGAGAGGGCAGGGGGCTGCAAATCAGGAGCGGGGGGAGCACCGGCAGCATCAAGGGTGGCAGGGGTCTGTAGTTTGGGAGTGATGGGCATGGGGAGGTGGGGTAGGGGAGTAGGGTTGCAGGTTGGGAGTGAAGGGCACCAGCAGAAGTGGTGGGGGTCAGGGGGCTGTAGGTCAGGAGTGAGGGGTACCAGGGTGGGCAGGGGGCTGCAGGTTGGGAGTGATGGGGATTGGGGGGGCACGGTGCTGTAGGTAGGGAGTGAGGGGCACCAGGGTGGGCAGGGTTGGGAGTGATGGGCACCGGGGGGGCAGGAGGCTGCCGGTCGGAAGTGAGGGGCACCGGCAGGGCACATACAGCTCCCAGCAGTGCGGGAGCCAGGTACTTCCTCTGTTCCCAGGCCCTATGTTGGGGTGGGGGAGGGAGATAGGCTGTGGTCCCCTCACCATCCCCCCCCACCCCCACACAGCCCCTCAGAGGCCAGGGCGGACAGACTGACAGGTTCATGAACGGATGGACAGACAGATGGACCCCACTACCGTGGCCACGAGGTAAGGAGCAGGGGCTGTTGAACTTACCCCGTGGTGGGAGCAGAGAAGCTGAGCTGCCCCCCGTCCTCCATCTCCTCTTCCTTATCCTCCTTCTCCATGGGGAGCTGTGCTGGAGGGTCTGGTGAGGGCCCCTCAGCCTCCTCCATGGCTCCAGGTGTGCTGGGGCCTGGTGCTACCACTTCCCCCTGTCGGCTTCCTGTCACCTGCGGCTGCGCGCTCCCCTCCTGCGCCCTACTGGGGACCGTGCTGGAGGCCAGGCCAGGTGCTGGGGAGCCGGGGGGCTGCTCCATCTGTGGGGCCAGCACCCCCCGGAGCCTGGAGGGGTTTATCAGCCCCACAGCCTGTGGGTCTGGGGGGCCTGGGGGTGGGGGGCACATCAGATTCACATCCCCTTGCTCAGTTTCACACCCCTCCCCAGTCAGTTTCAACCCCCCTTGGGCAGTTCCTCCCCACCCCTGGTTAATTTTACCCCCTTGGGCAGTTCCAGGTCTGGGCAGTTTCATCCCAGCTTTGCCTCAGATGAGGTGGGCAGGGGGGCCTGGGCACCCCTGGGCATTTAAGGGCAGGTCTCTGGTGCCTCAGTTTTCCCAGGGATCCCCACCCTGGCACTCACCTGCCTCCCTGTGGCCTGTGGGGGTCCCAGGGCTGGCATCCACTTGCAGCTCCTGGAAAGCAATGGCAGGGGGCAGTTCTGGGCTTTGGGGGGACAATTCTTAGCTCCCAGGGAGTAGTTACTGATTTTGGGGGGGCAGATCCCAGCTCCCTGGGGACAGTTACAGCTGTGGAGGGCAGATGCCAAGCACTCGGGGGACATGCACCCTCAGACACGCACATACCCACAGAACCCAGGTGTCTGGGACCAACCTGCACAGAATCTGTGGGGGGTCCTGCTGGGAGCTCCTCCCCTTGTTCCCATGCCCCACCCACTTGTGGGGCATCTGCCAGGTCCTGCCCTGGGTCCTCTGGGGGGTGGGGGCGGTAGGCAGGCACTCCCCACTCCGCCTGCTGGTTGGGGCTGGTGCACATGTGGGGTGCGTGGAAGAGTGGGTTGGTGTGGAAGAGCTGCTCCAGCTCCTCCTCCTCCTGCTCCTCCATGCCCGAGCTGCCTTCCTCCTCCTTATTTTCATCCTCATCCTCCTCTTCCTCCTCGTCCTCCTCTTCCATGCTGGCTGGCGGGCCCGGGTGCAGGGGCTGCTGGGATACCTCTATGGCGTTCTGGAGGTCCAGCACACATTGCTGGACCTGGGCCAGGCTGGCCTGTAGCAGGGCCTCGGCCGTGAGGGCCCGGTGAGGAGATCCCCCCATTCCTGGCCCACCTGGGGCATCCCCCATGGGGCTGCCTAGGCCGCAACAGGGCTGTGGGGCAGCTCCATGGGGCCTGCAAAGCAGAGACCACAGGGTTAAATCAGGGACGGGTCCCATGCTGAGGCAACAGGGCTGGTATTCCCCACCAGCCCCAGTGCACTCCATGCCTCGGTTTCCCCCTGTGTGTGTGTCCTGGATGTCTGGGTTCCCTGCACATGTGCGTGTGGGCCTGTGTCCATCTAAGGTTGGGTGTGTGTTCACTGAGGTAGTGTGTCTTGTCTGTCTATCTGTCTGCCAAAGGTGTATTTCAGTTCCTGCTGTGGGTAGGGGCAGATGTCTGTGTAGCTGTCTCTGGCATGTGTGAGTGTGTGTACGTACCTGGGTGCAAGGTGTCTGGGCCAGGCTAGTCTGGCCTCATCCGTGTGTCTGTCCAGGCCGGTTGGGGGGAGGGAGGGGAGTCAGGTGCTGCGCGTCTGTCCGTGTGCGCATGTCCTGGGGTATTTATATCTCTGGGCGAGAGGAAGTTCTGGGCCCCTGGGCCTGTGTGTGCGTATGCGCATGTGTGTGTGTGTGTCCCAGATGCCTGGGTTGTGTGTGTGTGTCTCCTGGATGCCTGAGTTTGTTTGTGTGTACGTCCCGGACACCTGGGTTCTGTGTGTATGTGTGTGTCCTGGATGCTGGGTTTTGTGTATGTGTTTATGCATGCATATGTGTGTGCGCATGTGTGTGTAGGGGATGCCTGGGTTCTGTGTGGCCGGGAGTCCAGGCTCTTTTCCCTCCCCCCAGCAAAGAACCCAGGAGTCCGGGCTCTTCCCCATCCTCCTCCCCCCAGCAAAGAACCCAGGAGTCCGGGCTCTTCCCCATCCTCCTCCCCCCAGCGAAGAACCCAGGAGTCCGGGCTCCTCCCTGCCTCCCCAAAGCAAAGAACCCAGGAGTCCCGGCTCCTTTCCAACCCCACCAAGGAAGGGACTCAGGAGTCCAGGCTGCTTACCAAGGCGGTGCTGGCGGCTCACTACGCCCGCCCTCCCGACCTCTGCCCCGGCTTCCCCGCCCCAATTCTGGCCCCAATCCTGGGCCCGATTCGCCCGTGCCCTTGCAGGGGAGTGAACAGGAGCCCTGAGTCCTGGGTTCTTTGCCTGGTGGGGTGGGCAGTGCCCCTATGGGAAAACCGAGGCACAGGAACCAGGGCTGTGGATACACTATACTTACCAAACAACACTGCCTTTTTTTTGACAGCTAATGCAGGGGGCGGGGCATCATCTGGACCCCTCCCCTCACCAGGGGGGTCGCTGCCCCAGAGTCCCTTTGTGGGGAGGAGAGAGGGAACAGGTAAACTGAGGCACACAAGGTTATGGGGATGGGAATCATGCCACAGCCTCCTGTCCATGCCCGCCCCCCAGGCCTGCTGGTGCCCCTCACTCCTGACCTGCAGCCCCCTGCCTCTCCCCCCCTCCCACCCATGCTGAGGTCCCTCATTCCTGACCCACAGCCCCCTGCCACTGCCCCCCACACACATTCTGAGTATAGTTTCTTCCCCTGCCACACACAACAGGGCCTGGCACAGAGCAGGGCTTCACCCCTTCCTGCCATGCCCAGACCTGCCTGGGGTGGGAGGAGTCGCATAGCATCCCCTACACCCTCCCCAGTCCCAGGGCTCTGTACGTGTCTGGGCCTGGCTGAGGGCAGGGCTGGCACTGAGTAGCCAGACCAGGGAAAGCCCAGAGCCGTTGTTCTAGCACTTGTCTTGTCATCGGTAGGTTCCTGAGTGAACGTTGCCAGGTAGGTCAGAAGCAGTCAGATGCTTCCCCCAGTTGGCTGGGGGGGGGCTGCTGTGGCCCCCAGAAGCCAGTACAGACCCCCCAGGCTATGATTGGGGGACTCCAGGCACTAGATTCTCCAGGTCACAGTGGCTCCCCAACTTTGGTGTCACAAACCTGCCTGTGTGTTGCATCAGGGTGACCCAGGGAGTTGCCACCCGGCCTTTTCCCGTAAGCTTGGGGGGGGGCGGAGGGGGAGTATTTCCTAGGCT